ACATAAATATCATTAATGTAATTAAATGTCACAATTAAAAGTCATAATAAGATTAAGTAATTTTATGTGTAAAAAGCAAAAATGTAAAATAAAGTAAAATGATAATCATATATGTAAAACACTATTAGATATAAACAGTGTAAGTAAAACAAGTGAACAATGTCAACGTTGTCTAGCTAAACGAGCTAGGTGATCATCAAATACGAGTGCCCACAGCGCCTGACCCCTTGTCCGCCATCACCAGGCCGTCCATAACCATCACATCGCTATTACTACCGCTGATTACGTCACTGTTGGTCGTGTCACTACATTTGGGAACACAAAATAAATTTACAATAAATAAACAAGGTCAAAAAGTAGCCAAACAAGGTAAAACATTAATTAAACATGGTAAAAACAAATAAAAACACAGAACAACATATAATATTAATGAGATTTTTAATGCGTTAATTAGTTATGGAGGGGACAGTTAGGGGGAGTCGGGGGCAGAGATGTGAACAGTGATATCTTGGAGGGGAACGGTATGATAGGCCCGGCGGCCGCCAAACCTCTTGGACCGTTCGACGTCGTCGATGGTGTCGGCCATCTCTTTGCCGTGCGTTTCGGGCAGACATAGGATCAGTAGTCCGTCAGTGATGGACAGTATGCCAAAAATGGCCAACGGTATGGTCACGTGCGTGTATATGCCCTAGGTAAAACAGAAACACACAAATTAGTACATATTCATTACTATTTGCAACTTTTTTTTGAAAAAGCATAAAGGTTGTTGTTTTGTGCCCAACCAATTCCTTGACGAATGGTGCCAGTATAGAGCCCACTCGGCCCACCATCGAGCTCGAGCCCACGCCAACATTTCTGACCACGGTCGGGTAGATTTCGGCCGAATACACATATATAATGCCAAAACTACAGGTCACACAAAACTTGCCAAACATTGCGAATGTCACCCGCGGCCACACCAGTGTACCTGTATATCAATATAACATGGTTAGTAGTTTCTTAAATCGTCGTGGTACTTTTTACAGTGTATTAAATCAATTATGTTTTAAACGGTATATTATTTGGTATATAATTTGATAGGGATTTTGTTCATTATAACGGAAATACAGTAATTATTGTCGATTATAGCGCTGGGATATGGGCTGGTAGTGCACGGTATGGGTGCTTACATGATCATTTCTCATAAGATTATACGCTTAACATAATGGTTATGTAAGTTATATAATAATGTGTGTATAAGTTTGGAAAACAATTTTTATTTATTTTTGCGTTATTTTCTTTGAGAAAAACTCATCGCCTATTCCGACACATCCGTCGATTAAAAGCGCCGACACTTTACTATAAACACCACTCAATTACACACACACAGAGGTAGGGGCGCACAGGTATGCACTCCTGTCTAAATACCTGGTACTGTATTACATAACATGCATAATATGTGTGTGTTTTAGAATTCATTTATGATTCACTAGAAACTACATTATAAGTTAAAATACATAACATGGTATAAAATAATTATAATATTACTTGTCATAAAGGGAATAGTGGCCAGACAGCCGAGACCCGCGCCAAACATGGCTGCCGATAGTGGCCATCGACGGCCGTACCGTTTGAGTAAGTATATGCATAGGGCATAGGCGGGGAACTCGACCGCACCCGCCAGTAGGAAATTGATGAACGGATTGCCGCCTAAATTGTTGGTGTTTAACGATAGGCCGTAGTATATGAACGCGTTGACAAACCTATTGGGTT